AAAAAAACAATTTTTTAATTATAAATTAATAAAATAAAACTTGTAACAAATAAAAAATGTATACTTACGAATTATTAAATTGTAGAAGTCAACGGACATTTAAAAAAAAAAATAATAATAATCAATCGATTTTATCATACAGAAAAAAATATTTGTATTATCACGTATTATAACTGATAACAAACTTGTGTCAGAAGATCACCGTGTTATCAATGCATTAGTAAATAATTTTATCTTTATAACAGATTAGGTGTAATATCGTTTACATTCACTTGAGTTTGATAAAGAAAAAAGTGTCCTAAACCAATTTTCCTAAAAACCACAAGACCGAATATAACTTTATCACTTTTTGTTTCTATTCACCACACTGTTTCTATTCACCCCATTTGACGGTGTAGGATGTTAGAACTTTTACAAATAACAAAAATTAGCAAACAATTCAGAAAAAAATTCTTTTAATATCTATAAGCACACATGATGAACTTAATACAATTAAATATAATATATATTTATTATTTAAAAATATTTAACACAGTTTTTTAAAAAAAGTTTGCTAGGATTACAAATAGATATTGGTACAGTAAAGATAGCTTATTTTTTTTTCAGTTATTATAAATGCAGTAATGCTAGTACTTATTTTTGTCCGGGATCAATCAAGAAGCTGAGAAACGGAACTGTAGTGATAATAAAATCACATGAGGGCCATGTTAGTGAGCAAAATAACTCTCAGCAACTGATTCATAATTTTTGTGAAATTTTGAAAACGAGGGCATCTACTGAGAATATCTCGTTAAGGAATTTATATGATGAGGAATCTAGAAGGTAAGAAGTCATATAACCTAAAGAATATCTTTTAGAGCCCTATCAAAAATTAATATCTGAATTTAATATTTAATTAGACATGTGGTAGCAGCAGGGTTGTACCCATGGTCAACAGCCGAATCTCTAATGCGACATGCCCGAAGAAGATCATTGCCTAGATTGCCTAACTCACTGTTAGATTTGGCAACTCTATTTGACAATGGCCAGCTAAATCGGTTTTCTTGTTGCGACTCTCCTTTTTTTAGAGGATGTGTTAGAGATGTGGATGGAAGAAGTAGCATCATTTTTGGATGTATGAATTTAATTGTTAATGTTCTGCAACATGGTGTGACAGAGTTACATGCGGATGCCACGTTCAAGGTTGTACCTAGAAACATGGGATACCAATTACTAACCATACATTGTATGATCGAAAACCATGTAAGATATTAATAATATGTTATATTATTTTATTTAATATACAAATTCAAATTTAAAATACTTGTGGAAATAGCCACCAATTTAAATAGTTGTAACATACAATGATATTTATTCATTTTAAATTCTCATTTAAATATTTGCAGTCCATACCTATTGTCTATATTCTTATGGAAAGTAAGTCACGGAATTCATACAACTGTGTTATGCGATTTGTAAAAGATAATCTTTTACCAAACTTAACAGTTGAAGTCATTATAACTGACTATGAGGTGGCTCTGAGGGATGTTTTGATTTCATCATTTCCAGAAGCCCGTTATGCTGGTTGCTGGTTTCATCATAACCAAGTAAAAATAAATAATCAAACAAATACAATCAAAAGCATTCTTATTAATGGTTTTGTATAATTTTGTAGGCTGTATGGAGAAAAATGAACAGTTTAGGATACTTACATCATCTAAATACTAACGATAATGCCCGTAAGGTATTGAAACTCCTTATGTCCCTTCCATTATTGCCAGCTAGAGATATGGAGAACGGATTTGTATTAATTAGAGCATTTGCACGAAATCATGATGTCCACTTGGAAAGATTGCTAAGTTATTATGAACGGTATTTTACTAATTAACTTAAAACCTAAAACATTTTAAATAACTGTTAATAAATACTATTAGGTATTAGAAATTTAAATATTAAACCTGTACCCCAATAACATAATTGACATTTTTCTTTTAAGATATTGGTTAAGAAATATTGGTCCACAAGTTGTGTCGGTTCATGGACTGCCTCGTCGGACAAATAATAACATTGAGAGCTTCCATAACGCCTTAAGATTAAAGTTTTCTGTCGCGCATCCAAGCTTATGGGTATTTATAGGTAAGTAATGTATGCATAAGTACAATATAACAATATTACATCAAGTTGTGTTAGAACTTAAAGGTATAAATAGATATTAGACTCAAGGTTTTGGAACTATGGATCAAATTACTACATTAAACTACTAAAATTAAAATTAATATATTTTTATCAGAGGTTGTATTTATTTATAGTTATAAACTTAAATTTAATCTTCTTAAATGAAAAAAAAAAATGTTTTCATAGTTACTTAAGTAAACTCAATGTAAAACCTAATATAATGAGTCTTAAATTATAATCATAAAGGTACCTAGTTAGTTAATAATTAATACCAAAACGGTAATACCTATTTTATTTTGTAATTTTTAAATAGGCACTTTAACTACTTTGAGTTCCAGTTACCATTTGGTCAATCAACAAATTTTGAATCACTTGCGTCCCACTAGGCATGTGAGGACCAAGTTTTTGGCTAACTCTCACAGGATAAAGTATGCTACAGAGCAATACCAATTAGGACAAATATCCATATGGCAATTTCTTCTGCGTTGTTCGTATACCAGCGCAGCTTATGAATTAAGGTTGCGAACCTGGGCGTTGAGAATGAACGATGCTGATGTAGATGATGAATCAGACCACAATGTTCCAGCAGATGCAGTTCTAGTACCAGATCACATTCCCAATGTTATTGATCCACAGCCAGTGGAAAATAATAACTTGCAATTGGATCTGAATCAACCGTTTAATGATGCACCACGTTCACCGCCAATTATGAACCCTCCAGATTCGCCAGATGTACCTCAGCCGCCGGACAACAGAAACTTGTGTATGACATGCTTGGTAGTGTCTCTATCTGATAGCGAACAGCAATATATTGTATTACCATGTGGCCACGCATGGGTGTGTGATGTGTGTGTAAGGCAGTTGGAACAACAAAACTCTGTATGCCCAATGTGTAGAGCAGAAAATGTAATTTTTCAACGGGTGTTTTTTCTTAAATATTTTATTTTAATCCTTTAAAAAAAAAATAAATAAATGATAATTTATAATTAAAACTGAAGTTTATTAATTATTATAAAAAGCTTATCTCCAGAAAATAATAAAAAAATAGTTTGTCCATTATTTAATATATTTTTCAGATTCCCTAATTTATTTAAGAATTAGGTAACGGTTTAGTATTTCACTATACCAATAAAGTGTTGTTACTGTTTCATTAAAAACCACTTTATTTAATTTCTAAACATTTTTTTTAAATTTATTTTACATGTTTTTACCTAACTTCAATTATATAAAATATAGTTGTACAGTCAATAGTCATAGGTACGCTTTACTTGTAGAATAGTTTCACAGCGCATAAAACAAGGGAGTTACAGTTAATATAATTGTTTAAATTCAATAAATGTATTAAATTACACCAAGTGTACATTTTTTATTTATTTTAAACAAACAAACCATGTTTAGTAATCAAAGGTGAGATATTTATCAATATAGTAATATAGACAGCCGGACAGTGATGTGATATGATATTTTAATCTTTCAGTCTAGTGAATATTTAAACATAAATTCAATAAGCAAGAGGAATTTTGTTTTCTAAAAATTATTTAAGCATATTATTGAAAATGTAAATTAATTTTTTTAATTACATTTTAACCTTTTTTTATTTTATTGTATCTATTAATAAGAAAATGTCAATCACCTAAAGTAGAGTTCAATTATAGTAAAAAATATGAAATTCAAAAAATACAAAATTTGTTAGTTTGTTTTATTCAAATGTTTTATTTTTAGTATTTATTTATTGGATTTTATAATTTGTAATAAAGTTTTATAAATTAGTAAGTTTTTGTCTACCAGATGTCAAAATTAGATGAAGTGAATTGTTGTGAAAGAGACATAGGTATCTATCTATATTTATACCAACAAAATTAACATGATTCTCTTAAATCTATGAAATAGGTATGCAAACAAAAAATGGTTTTATTTATTGAGGATAAGCCAAATCGTGAAGCAATCACAACCAATCAATTTGGACTTAAAGAAAAAAAAACATGCAAATGCTATATTCCTAGCCCTTTTTATGAATAAATAAATAAACTATATTTAAATAATTTGTTTCAAGTATGATTAGCCCACTCTGCCAGAACGGGCTGTGCACGCCTATGTGTAACAGTAAACAATTACAAAACCCCGGGTGGTCAATCCATACTTGACTGCAACTTTGTAAGATAAATAATTGTTGTTGTGATGTATCTGTTAAGTTCTTTGAGATGTATGATAACCGATAAGTAATACATTATACCTAGAAGTTTTAATACTAAACAGAACTTACATGATTTGAGACATTTGAGTTAGGAAGGTTTGAATGAGATTGTTGTAACTTGTAGATAGCATATTAGGTTTTAGTTTGATTTTGCAATGTTTTAATACGTGTAATATGGTATGACTCCATCCCTTTGATCATATACTAGTATAATATGATCTAAGCTCCATCCATTGTATATGATCATCATAATATTGGTAACCAAGGGTCTAACATCATGTTGGTGCGTGGAACCGTTTTCATGTTTTTCGTAGGTTTAGACTTCAGATCATAGGTAACCAAGACCACAATCAGCTGATCGAGTTTCGCTTCTATATTGTTCTATGATATGATCTAAGGATTATCACTTATCAGCTATAAATTCTTATCACGGGGTCCAAATTCTTATCTATCACATCCCGCTATGGGGACCTAAAGTTTACACCGCTATCTTGTGCTGTTTCCGAAAACAAAAACAAGGTGACTAGCTTTTTCAATTTCCGTAATGTGACGGTCCGTCATATTACTGTCCATGTATTTACTTTCCGCCATATTACGGTCCGTGATATTAAGGTTTTCCGTCATATTACGGTCCGTACATTTTTTAATTCCGGGATTTGACGGTCCGTAATCTGACGGTTAGCGGTATTTTTATTTCCGTAATTTGACGGTCCGTAACTTGACACAAGAATTCCGCAATCTGACAGTCCGTTTAATTATTTTCCGTGTATTTACGGCTCCCCAAGTGTACCTATTAGATAGTAGGTATTAAATAATTCTCCAAGTACATATGGTTAATATTCACGTTTTACTACTTTATAACATGTTTTCCAGAAAAATCTCCATTTTATATTATTAATTAATTATTTATATTTGTACGTAATTCTTATGAAAAACAACTATTCATATTTTTAATATTTATGTTAATACTCTGATTAGTTTTTTATTAATTGTATAATTATATACAGATCGGTATAGTTAATACAGAAATAATATAATACTAATCCTAAGAACTATGTAGTTATTATTAAATTATATAAGCATAAAAAAAAGACATATGAGTACTACTTACATCCATAATTAGTATATTTATTATACTACTTATCAGCACCAACATTAGCTGATACTTTACAAAAAAACTGTTATATTTTAATGTATCTTACTATAGGTAGGTATAGTTAAACAAGTTTATTATAATATAAGTTTAATAAGTAAAATAAAAAATGATGTTATAGTAATAACTAATATTGTAGGGAAAAAAACAAATTTAATGTATCATCTTATCTTGCCATTCGACTTTTCCTTCATCAGTCAAAAAATAATTTGCATACATGTCTCTGATTGTATTGCCGGATCTGTTTTGTGTATCTATTGTATCATTTGAAGTTTCAAAACCTTGTATACTCAATGTATGGGCAAATTGATATCCATCTCTTACACGAACAAAGTTATGAAGTACACAACAAGCTTTTACGATTTTTGTTGAAAGTTCAACGCCTGTATTCATCAGTCTATGAAAAATCCTCCATTTGTTGGATAAAATTCCAAAACTAAATTCAATATACCTTCTAGCCGGTGATAGACGGTAATTAAAAATTTTTTTTTTATAATTTAAGTTACTTCTAGCATATGGTCTTAAAATAGTTTTAGAAACTCCAAAAGCTTCGTTGGCTAAAATTACATAAGGTAAAGGACCATTCTCGTTATCTCTTGGTAGAAGTTTAGGTCGAGGTATAGATAATGTTTCATTTTCAAGTTTTTCAAAAAATTTTCCATTTTTGAAGACAGACGAATCACTAAATTTTCCACATGCTCCAACATCAACAAATGTAAAACAATAATTTGCATCACAAATTGCCATCAACACTATAGAATAATAATGTTTGTAGTTATAAAAAAGTGAACCGCTTTTGATAGGCTTAATAACGCGAATATGTTTCCCGTCTAATGCACCGATGCAGTTAGGGAAATTAGAATTTTTTTCAAAATCCAAAGAAATTTCTCTCCATTTTTTTTCCGTAGGTAGAGGTATGCCTTCAGATTTCATTTTCCAAATTTTTTCACATATATCCTCAACGATACCACTAATTGTAGATATTCCCATTATATATGAATACTGTAGATCAGTAAATGTATTACCTGATGCCAAGTACCTTAAATAAAAAAAAAACAAAATTGTTTCAATAACCTATAAATTCAATATAATATTTTGAAACGTCTATAAAAAACAATTTGACTGGCCAAAAAGTTTTGAAAATTTGTGCATATATTGCCATTAAAAAAAAATCAAAAATCGTAGATCACAATTTTTTTATAAGCATAGAAAAAAACTATAGAACTAAAACATCAAATTTTTTTTTTAATTTTCCTTTAATTTTCCAGCTATTTATAAGCATTTGAAATATTCGAATATTTTGTGTTTTTTTTTATAAAATTCGATAATATAATTTGAAAGTTAATATTAAAAATTTAATTTAAGGTTGTCCACAAGTTTTTCTTACAATAATTTAAAAAAAAACTAGCGAAAGTCAAATAAAACATTTGTATGATAGAACACATTTTTTATTAATGCATTTTTAAATGCATGCGTAAAATTACGGTTTAATATTAAACGGTTTTAGATATAAGTACAATAAATAAGCTCCGCCTCCACTATACAGCAGAGAGAGTTCTCAATTTTTTTTGTATTAATATAAATAGGTACCTACAGAAATGTATTTAATAAAATAAAATTACAATTACAACAGTTGTTATTTTGTTTATTTTATTTATTTAGTACCTATATTATTACATTTTTGCCTACATATTATAGTTGATAAAGCCCAACAAAGGTGGAAAAGTGTAAGGGATGCAAAAATTAGATCAATGGCAAACAAAAAACTATTGAAGTCTGGATCAGCTTCAAAAAAAAAAAGGGAATATGCTTATGATAAACAACTACAATTTCTTGAATCCTTGGTAGAACCAAATAGGTACCTAAGTAAACATATTTAAACAATTTGTTATGTAATCAAGCCCGGATTAAGGATCAATTGGGCCCCGGGACACCATACACCCTTTCAACTTTAACTTCAAAATAATTGTAACATATTAACGACTTTATATTATTATATAATTTGTACTACCTATACAAAAAATATACAGATGGTGACCATTGAATTGGCTCCCAATATTGGGTAAAGTACCTCATCGAACATTGAATTGGCTCCCAATATAATTTTCAACAAGTGGTTCTCATAATATAAAAGTTGGAAGACTTTAATATATTTAGCGACACAGGGCCGGATATACTGTTTGCAATTATCTAATCGTTAACCCGATAACGCATTATAAATGGTCATAATCATATCACATATCATTAGTTCGTCGCAATCCGTCGCAATAATCGCAGTTCGTCTCAATCGCTCGCAGTTCATTGCAATTTGTCACATTTCGTACCTACATATTATATATAATATAAAATAAATTCGGTCGAAAAAATGTTAAGTGAAAAGGGAGAATTAATTTTTATAATAAATAAGTTTAAATTTAGCTATCATAAGTTTCTCCAAAATGAATTTAAACGATTCAAATGTACTAAACGGGGATGCACAGCTTATGAAAGAATTTGTAAAAACGAAAATGTTGTACGGGAATCGTCCAGTCTTAATCATAGCCACAATCCAGATGAAGAAAACAAACTTGAACGCCAAATTATTAGTAATGGACTGAAAAGAAAAGCCATCGAAAGTATATGTGAACGCCCTTCTAAATTGTTGCATATGTACTTAAGGGAAAATTCAACAAATTCAATTACAACGCAAGATGTTAAATACATCAAACATAATATGCTTCAAGCTCGAACCTTAGTACGTCCAAAATTACCCAAAAATAGACAAGAAGTGCATGATATTTTACAAACCATGGATATAAAAACATATGACGGTAAACAATTTTTACAAACGAATGATGCGGAAAAAGGAGTTGTACGGTACGGGCCGGGGACGAACAATAATAGTCCGCGACTCCCGGTCACCAAAATACTCCGTACGCACCGACCTGTGTAATAAGTGTGTATATATTATGTATAGCGACTCTGTAGAAGTGGACGGGATCGCCGATCAAGACTAGAGAGTGCTAGTGTGCGGTGGGTGTATAAGTGTGTATATGTGTGTGGGTGTGTGCTTAAAACCAGATGACACTATGAGGGTCTAGGACACTTCGCCGCCACCGTTTCGTCTTTAAATATACCACCACAACTCGTACCAGAATATACCAGAGATCCAGCAGTGACACCACCAATTCGAAATAATTTACAGTGATGCCTTGTTAGCGGCACTCGTCGCTACGCTCCCCGGCGCCGTCGCTCCGCTCCGCAAATCGAAAATATCCCTCGACTTGCTATGCAACACCACCTAAAGTTGGTCACTGTGTAACGGCTGTTATACCATAATACAACAACCACTCTTATCATTCAAAAGCTTATCACTACCGAAACGTTAAAGGCTCGGGCACACAGAACGCGGGTCTGTCGCGGCGGTCAGCGATCTGGTGACGCCACTCACCATGCGTTTGTTTCATAAGCGGTCTAGCCTAAAAACATGATATTTGCCAGTCACATATCCACCTGCGGTTGTAGTCATATAGTTACAAATCAACGATATTTTTCAGTGTTTTTTTCATTATATTATTATTTATTCAATATGTCAAGTTCTGACGAAGAGCAACTTCTTCTTCTACTCGCCCTTCAAAATAAAAGAAAAAGACGATGTTGGGTGCATGAAATAAATACGAAAAGAAAATCATTTGGCGAATACCATCGTCTTTGTATTGAACTTCAATCACATGAAGATCGTTTTTTTCAATATTTTCGCATGTCACGAGAGTGTTTCGAGGAATTACATGACCTAGTAAAAGTAAATATTTCAAAATTGCCAACAAACTTGAGAGAACCAATCGAGTCAAGAGAAAGATTAACTATTTGTTTGAGGCAAATTTCACAAAATAACATATAACAAAAATTAAACTAATAATAAATATAAATACATTTATTATAAGATAGATAAAAATAAAAAAATTGATAATACCTTATTCATTTATTAAAATTGAAAAGTATTGTGTAATATCTTAGTTATTTTTAGTTTATTAATGTTTTTAAAGTAAAAAAAAGTTTAAATAAAACATATTAGTTTTAACATTAGAAAGTAAAATTTCTTAATTAATATATTGATTAGGGTTAGGCAACCCTAATCCAATAACCATGTTGCTCGCATTTTCATAAACATCCCTCGTCGTTGTATAAGAAAGATTATCTGGCTGGCTCTGTGATTCAAAACTATACTGAGAATTTGGGGAACTAGTAGCTGAATTGTCACTATAATATATTGGTCTTACTTGCTCACGTAGCTCTCTTAGTTCAGTTTTTGCGAATAATGTTGCAAGCTCTATCTTAAGTTCAGCTTGTATTTGAGGGTGAAATTGTTTAAAAGTGTCCGCGTAACTTAAAAACAAATGATCAGTACCGTCAAGTTGTGTTCTTTTTTTTGTTTGCAAATAGTCGATAACTTTTTCAAAGACATTAACTTCATGATGTAACTTAAGTTTTTTCCGTGGTGTTAAAGGGGGTGGCATTTGTGTGGTACTTGGAGAAATAATACTTTCATGTGTATCTGAACTCTGTGCCGTCTGTGGTGGTGTTTCTGGTCTATTAGGTGATCCTATTGACATATCAGGTATATTACTGCCTGGAGGACGAAATTTGAGAATATCATCTAAAAATTCCATGTGGCTACTCCATGGCCATTTATGGTATTTCTTAGCTTGCCCTGTTTCTCCTTTTACACTTTTTTTGAATCTCATATAGGAATCACGCAAATTTTTCCATTTACTTTTGGCCAATTCACCTGAAAAATATTAAAACAATACGAGGTTGAATAGAATAAAATAAAATAGAGAGATTACAATTACAAAAGACAATAATATATTAAAAAAAGGTGGGTAAGTGGGAGTCGCTCTGCTGTACAGTAGGTTACAAGTGACTAACTGTAATGGATTGTGTTAAATTTGTATCCAATGATATAATATCATTGTATAAGAAAAATGATTCTGAGCGAAGACGGTCAGTCAGCCTACCTATGATATTACTAAGTATATTAATCGATATTATTGTGAATAAAGTTATTAATATATTATAACATATTTACGTTGAACCCTGTTTTAAATTTTCAATCCATAACTAAGTTTTAAATTTTCAATCCATAACTAAGTTTTAAATTTTCAATCCATAACTAAAAGTTGAACATTTTATACATTTTTAACTACAAAATAATTTAAAATTTAAAATTTGATAAATTTTGTCTAAATTTGAACTTAAAATGATTTTTAAAAAAATCGTGCCTATGTATTTTAAATATTTTTCAACTATTATTGTAACAATATATTAGGAGCTTCGTATTAAATTTTCAAACTTTTTTACCCAACAAATAAAATTTTATAAAAATGTAAAAAAAAGCACACATCATTGTAAAATCAATACATTCATCGCTCCGCTAAGAATCTAAAAAGTATTTTATGAATCTTTATTAATTTTTTAGATATTTAGCTACCGGTGACAGCCACCAAAGTATTGCTTTTTCTTTTCGAACGGGACGATCTACTGTTTCAAAAATTATAAAAGAAGTGTGTCAAGAAATTTGGAACAATCTACATCCAACTTATTTACCTGCACCTTCTGAACAGATATGGAATGAAGCTGTGGAGGGATTTTCAAAAGTTTGGGGATTTCCTAACTGCCTAGGAAGCATTGATGGAAAGCACATTAAAGTAAAATGTCCTAGTAATAGGGGCTCAAGTTATTTCTGCTACAAAAATTTTTTTTCCATCGTTCTCTTAGCGGTAGTAGACCCGTTTTACAAGTTTATGGTAGTTGATATTGGCAGCTATGGGCGTCACAGCGACAACGCTATTTTCGAAAATTCCGCTTTTTTTCGGCAGTACATTGATGGAAAAACTATTCTACCTTCGAAGCCACTTCCAGGTACCGATAATCCTGTTCCCCACGTATTCATTGGTGACGAAGGATTTGCTCTCCAAACTTATTTGATGAGACCTTACCCTAAAGCCACT